AAAGCCAAATACATATTTTAGTTAACATGGCTGACTAAAAGCCCTGCCACAGCACATAAAAAATGATAAATAACAACAGTTATCAAAAATGGTAATAAAATAATTTATTTTTAACCATCAAAATGATACATTTTCTTTAGCAAACTCAAGAGTCATTTAAACCGACACACTGCTATTTTACAAATACTGTCTGATCCATGCACCGTCACCATCACAGTCCATGCTTGCTCCATCAAATGAACACAGAGCAAGCATGAACACAGAGCAAGCATGCACCATCACCATCACAGTCCATGCTTGCTCTGTGTTCATTTGATGGAGAGAATGACAGTTGCATTTATACGTCACCGATTTTGCTCAGAGCAAGTCCATTAAGAAAGTCTGCACATATGCAGATTCACAGAAAGGACGCATAATAGTTCAGAAACATCAGCTTAAGAGCCCTTATGCACGTCACAATTTGACAATAAGAAAAACCAGAGTCCTTGATTATACTCCTGTGTGTACATACACACAAACAACTGTGGATGAGTTACTGATGTTATTATTATACTACTTTTTTAGACTGTGGGAGTCTGCTTGGAAGACACTAGACAGATAGAAAAGTGCTGGCAACTCTCTGTCTGAAAGAGGCATGAGCAGCAGTAGCTTAGTTTGATTTAAAGGTGCAGATACTGAAACAGTCGATTTGGAAATAAAATCTGCATTCTGGAGACATCTGAGACTTTCATTACCTTATTCAGAAGGAGTATAAAATGGGACATCTGGGCACAGATTAAACTTTTAGTCTTGTGTTTTCACTTTGTGGCTTTAACACCAAGCATAAAATCTTCTGGTAGCGTCTCATCGGGCATGTTCTTCAGCTGCTCGTCATAGCCACGGAGAGTCCACAGTTTCTCCAGTTCGTACACCTCTCTGGTCTCTGGCAGCATGAAATGAACGACTACTTTACCTGAAAAAAAAACAAAAAGAAAAATGGAGACTAGTAACCAAAAAACAAGAACCAGTTCACCTCAACAGCAGTATGAAATGGATAAATGCAGGTATTCTCTAAACATATATACACACCAAAGTCCACACACATCCAATCCTCTGCATCCTTCCCTTCAGTCTTCACATGTGGATCTCCCTTTTTTTTCAGAAACTTGTACTGGAGAAAAAGCATCCTTTGTGTAAGTTTTAAAGATGATTACAAGGTGCTCATATCAACGTCTAACAAAGAGCAAATGAAGACTCGTTACCACTTTAACGGCATAAAGCGCCATAGCACGGATGTGTCTCGGCGACATACCGCTGACGACAATTAAGTATTCGGCGTATTTGATGTGTTCTGGTATTTTGATCACACAGATGTCCACGGCATTTTCCTGACGCAGCAGAGACACCACCACATCGAGATCGAACGTCTGTGAGGAACCTGGACAGAAATGACAGAAAGAAGCATTCAGTGCGATATATTCAAACTCAGCAGTATGTGGGTACGACATCCCCTCAGTCACTGCATGTAGTTTGGAAAAGACTACTTTGTGCAATAATTAAAGCAATCCAGCATTAAAGGAAAACCTCATCCATTAAAGTAGGTTAATATGACTGAACATAGCTAACTACTGCAGCCATTCTGAATTATTCTGCTTGGTATTCTTTTAATTTTTACAATATTGTTTGGTTTATCGATCAAAAACAATCCTAATTTCTAGAACTAATTGATCGGTTAGTCAAATCATCAACAAATATCTTTATATTATATTAATCACGTGCGTGGTGTCATGAAAAAATATAAACATTTGCTGGTTGCAGCTTTTCAGATGTGGGAATCTGCATTTTTTTCTTTGTTAATACGTTTGTGGAGACTGTATATACTTTTTTGGGAATGCAGTTTGGCCCTTAGGTGTTTTAAGCATTCACATTGTAGTATTTTACCTCTATCATTTAAAAAAAAAAAAAAAAAAAAGTATATTTGCAAGTGTTACTATAAAGAGCGTTTTCAGATCTTTCTGTATGTTGCTGAAAATTGTCATTCAAGTAAAATTCTGTTGTAGGATTGATGCCTTCCTGTAGGATTAGAGGAATCTAACTGTTTTATATTTAACAAACCATTTACCCAAGTCTATTAAGCAATCTATAACCAATAAATAAATCAGTGAATTGGAAAATAATAATAATCAGCAGTTTCCTTAATAATGAAAATAGGTTTTAGCCCTAAAGAACACCCAGAGCTCAAAGTGAAGTCTTCAAACTGATCCTTCTGTCTGACATTTAAAGAGGTACCAATATTTTATAAATGTCATGTCATTTCCAAAGGTGTAATGGTCGAATAATATGAAAACTATATGTACGCACACATTTAATCAATAAGATGGGGTTTATGGTTATATATAATAAGGAAAATTCTCACATCTGAGTGTCTGATGCTACAGATTGTTTATCACTTCGGCTTGACAACTTAATTAAATGTTCAGGTGTGTTTGAGGAAACACGGTGAGCTACTTACTCTGCCTGAGGACGCTGTTGTTACTGCTGCTGTCACCCATCTCATGTGATTCCTCTTCAGACAAGCCAGTGCTCGTTGAATTTCTCCATTCACTACTATCTGAATAACATCTTTTTGTGTGAACATGACAGCTGAAGGACGCTGCGTGGTGCCAGTGTTGACATGAAGCTACGTTAGCGGTTAAATGTTGACTTTGATACAGACTGTAGCACCGAGCATTGGGGAGCGAAGACCCCAAAACTTGCGCTTTCTCCACTAAAACGTTATTTCGAAACAGCGACGACACCAGTTTCCTCGAACGACAGAGAACATTCATGATTTTAAGCTGCATTAACGTTAGCTAACGCTAAGCACGAGTCTAACGGGAGCTAAAAACAGGAAATGAGTTCTGTCCTTGGCTTGTGATTGGTCCGTGCGGCTTCTTCGTTGGTGTCTGAGCTCCACTTGAAACATCCAAGGAGCGCCCTCTATGGAATAAAGAGGGCACTGCCTCCAGAGCGGTGCTGATTTTGTAAATCAGAATACAGTAGAGTGCGTTTCAAAAAGCAGGATTAGAAACTGCCCTGTGATTATGACTTTGGCTTAACTGGTGATTTGGTTTAAATCTGTGACACAAAGCCAGTCTTTCAATCTCAAACTGCCTTTTTAAACTCTCCACACAAAGACTAATACCTGCTGATTCGACTCCAACCACACACTGGACCATAAGCTGGGGGGTTCTAAGAACTTTACAGCACTGAACTAAGAATCTCAATATAATACCCAAAGGACTGCAAACTGTAGGATATGTCTATTACTTTGTGTTACCTAAAATCCCCTGCATTTGTTTTACTTTCTGTTTATTTGCCTTGTAATGCTTACTGCTTTCCTTTTTAAAGTATTTTTGTACTTCTCTAAAAAATTCCCTACTTGACAGTGTTTACTGTAAATCACACATTAAATTCCTTGATTGTGAAAAACTACTTCACAAGCAGTGGTGGAAGAAGAACTCGCAAAATGTCGGATTTCAAAACATAGATTGGGTTATTTGACAAGTATTGCAGCTGTTGAAGGAAGTTATTTTAGCCCTTTGTGTTGTACATACTGCAGAATGAGATTATTATTGACTACACTTAAAAACTAGGTGTGAAATAACTTTTTAGCTACCTGAAATAAAACAACAAAAAAAAGTTTTTATGGGGGGAAAAAAATAGCTGAATTGATAATGTGTGCTTACAAAACTAAAAGAAAAGAAAATTATTTTGTCAGTATTATTAAATTTGACAAACAAAATATGACAAACTACTCCCCATACATTAAAAAAAAAAGAACATACTAAAATAAAAACGAGAGTGTAACACTCTTGAACAGTGAAAAACTAAAGTTACTAACTAAAACGAGCAAACCCGCTGAAATCTAAACTGAACCAAAAACATTTTAATCAAAATAAAACTTGATAAAAAAAATGAATTTGTTCTCTCCTGGAATCCATAAAGTATTATTTCAATCTATAATAATACACCATAATGTATTTGTTGATTGTATGATGTAATAAAATAGATCTGCAACATTTTTAGTAACTGAAGATATCAAATAAATGTTTTAGTAAAGAGTAAAACATTTACCGCTGAACGGAAGTAAACTCGAAGCATAAATCAGAAGAAAATAGAAATCCACAAACGAAGTAAAAACAGGACTTGAATAAATGCATCCTATTACTTGTCACCACTGTATATCTGCTTATAATAAAATATATCCATTCATTTCACACATTCAGGACATCTGGCTATTCTTGCTTGTAACCTGTTCCCCTGTGCAGCACTACTTAGGCGTTAGTGACGAATTATTTATCATGGGTGTAAAGTTTCGTGCAGTAAATGAACCCTGCTGTTCCACTGCGTCAGATGGGCCTATTCAAATAACGCAACCCATAATTAATAGTGAATTAAAGGCAAAACACACCATATTCATTCCTTGCATTTATTTCTGTAGGAAAATTTCCAGGATGAAAAATACTAAAAATATATCGTTTTACAAAAATCAACACCTCTGGCTTGCACAGATTAAAATGTTAAAATCGCACACATTAGAAAAAAAATCAGTAAATTCGCATAAATTCCACCTGAGGTACAATCTCATTGGTCAGAACATATTCATTGAAATCACGAGTTCAAGTATGTAATCCAAACATTGTCGTGCTTGTCTAGAGTAAAGCAGGGGTTTCTGTTTGAGTTACTTCTCATTCATCAGCAGAGTCCATAGTCACATTCAGTCTCAAGCCCACAGGAATATGGTCCGTGAGGCCGGCCAGCTGGGTTATAAAGGTCACCTCCTCAATTTCCTGGATGGAAACAAGGAAAGTTTGTGGAGGATTACTATAAAAACTGTTAGAAGTCCTTCCATTTGCCAGGGTTTCATGAATCATTTGTGTATTTGGCAGCCTAACGGTAGCCTTCAGCTTCAAAAACACAGGAGCAATTGAGCAAAAGGGAGGGACCGAATAGAGGAAAGAGAAAACACTAAAAAAGACACGTACTGTTCGGCAGTGCTTTGAAATTGAGTTTTCACGGAAGAGGATGTAGTCGATCCGACGTCCGATCCACGGCTGGCCAGTTTCTGGGTAAACCATCGGTATTCCCACTGCAGGAACGGGAGGAGAGATGTACTGTTTTCTTAGCTCATCGCTTTCCAAAGTTCTACAGAGACACACAGAAGACAGAGCAGGTTGTTATGTCATTACGTTCTCGTTATATTGAGCCCTTTCCCGACACGAGATATGAAACATTACTGCTTCATCAGTTTGTTGAAATTACAGCGTTCTGTCAGCGAGACAAAGGTCAAGTGGAATTCATAATAATGCACTAATAAACAAAAGACTACAAGCTTATCAG